GTTTTTAATGGTCCACCTGTATAGTATTGATACTTCTGAGTTTTTTATTATAAAGTTCAAGTTATGCCTTAAAAACGGCACTCAAAAATGTATCACTAGTACTGCTGAGAACAACATGGATGTCTTCTTCAATGGGGAGCCCTCCGCATATGTTAAACTACAACTCTCATACTCCTTAGGCAGCATACAGTAGTTCTCTTTGGTTTAATCGCTGTCAAATTAAATCAAAGACCATTCAAATTGTCCTGTAGAAAAGGAAATTTTAATGGTGTGTTTTTACAGTGTAACCAGTGCTTAGGAATTTCACATAATATTGAACGTTGAAAATACATGAAATATTTTGCTGAAAAGTGACAGAGGCATGTTTTCTGTGAGGCAGGTGCTTCCTATCTGGATGTTCCATTTAACAAGGGACTGAATTTCCTCTCCTCCCCTGAAACTTTGCAGCAACAGTTGAGAGAGAGGTAGAGAAGAGGCTTGCTTCCTAGACCATAGGATGTTGGAAGCAAGGGAAACAGCAGCATTCACCCCTAATGGTTATTTTCTGATTTACAGTAGTTCAGGTGTATGGGTTTGTACGTATCTGTATATGTGGGTATCTGTGGAGGTACAAATAGTGAACTAAATTTCAATAATCCTTGGCACGAAAGAATTAGCAAGCCATTGGAGGAATTTAATACAAGAGATTTTTCTTCCCTGAGCAATCCAGGTTGCCCAACTAGTCAGTTAATCTGAAACAATTTCAACTTTAGGATTCCACCAATAGAAATATAGCTGGATAAATTATCCTCAGAAAAGTTGTATGTGGATGGTTACCTTTGTGCATTAACGTCAATTGAAAGCTTCTCTCTCTCTACCTCTTGGCTTAACCCCAATGATAACATGAAACACTTCCATTAATGCTAACCTGGATGCAGTCAGTGAGGGTGAAAGATTGATTAAAACATGCAACATGTCAAATGTAGATACTATGACTTCTAGTCATTTTGTCAGAAATTGAGTTGCAACTACACAACAGTGGGATTTGTGTTGTGCTGTACTGCACATTTTTATTTTTCTTATTGTAGCTGCAGCCCCCTGTGCTTGAATGCTTCAATGAATCTCAATTACTTCTGTTTCTGGCAGCATCCTTTTTCTAGAATACTGTTATGCTAAGCCTTCCCATTAATATATACATTACGGTCTTTATTATCATGTCTATTTCAGCAATGAGATACACATTTGGGAGAAAGACAGGAAATTGATGAAACATGTAACTCAGGAAGACCATCAGGATGTATTCCTGTATTGACATGGTTTTGTATTCTAAAACATGAGTTGAAAGATACTGTAGAGGAAGGAAATAATACTAGAAAACCACAGAGTTTGAGTGAAGCATGCTTTCAATATCAGTTGCTGACATTCCTTTCCCCTCTGTTTCTTACATTCTCCTATCCTTTTTAGCATCTTGTTTTGCTGATAGAGGAATTTCACTTCTTCAGAAATTTCAAGCAATGGGTGGAACATCCTAATTTTTTCCATTCATTCGGTGTTTTGTAGAGATTCTCTTTCATTTACTTACTTCCACCTGCTTTCTACACTCAGTTTTTTTACACAAGCCCTCTTTTTTTTCATAGCCACATTACTACATGTCATGATTTAGAGATTAGCACTCTTGTAGAACAGAACCAGTTTGATGTAGCGCTTAAAGACACTGGACTACCTCAGGGAATTGTGAGTTCTAGTTTGGGTTTAGACCAGTGGTGGGATTCAACCAGTTCGCACTACTTCGGGAAAACCAGTTGTTAACTTTCTGAGCAGTTTGGTGAACTGGTTGTTGGAAGAACTCATCAGGGCAGAGAACCGGTTGTTAAGTTATTTGAATCCCACCTCTGGTTTAGACCCAATGCCACCTGGGCGACCGTGTGCCAGTCTCTCTCACTCACAGGCAATAGCAAATGACTTCTGTAAAACATGGCAAAGGAAACTTTAGGGACTTGTCCAGGCAGTGGCCAGCTGTCAGGCCTGACTTGAAGCCGCAAAACCTCCAGAAAAATCATGAAATTCTTTACAGGAGTTGGCAGGTTAGATTCCAGAAGTACCGGTAAATCTTGCCCTACAGAGCAACATCTGAGAGCGCCAGTGAACCTATAGATATCTCCCCTGCTGATTTTCTGCATTATTTTTATTTTGCAAAAAAAGTGGGTGGATGACATACTTCGGTGCAGTGTGATCCCACACCTTCTTTATTTCCAAAGAGACCAAGCATCTCATGAGATGTCCTAGGACCTAGAAAATAAAATTTTGATAATTTCAGCCAAAGTCTTTCTTTGGAACTGTGCCCATTCACCCAGAGAAAACAGCAAAAATACACGGGGAAAAGTGAGCATCTTACAGAAGACAAAGTACAGTTAGTGGCAAATAGATTGCTGATAAAGCCAAACTTTTGAAATATATGTTCCCAAGGGCAGCCACATTGTCACTGACAATGCCAACACAGCAGCAATTAGCAAAAGTCCGCCTGTAATGTTTTCTCAGCCCAACAACCCTTGGTGGACTTCTAGCTCTTTCAGTAAACCAATACTATCCCTGCCTTTTATTAGTTCCATATCAGTTAATTGAATGGCAAGGATTTTCTTTAAAAAAATCTTTATATAATTTTGTATTTTCCCTGCAAGGAATCCCAGGATTGAATTCAGGATACAGCTTTGCCCATTCCACCAAACACCTCTTGCAAATTCTATTAGGAAACTGTAAGTTTTAACCTGATAAGAGATCAGTTGCTATCAGCAACAGAGTGGAGATGAACTTTTAGTTGCTTTGTGCTGGTGCCCATGGAAACTCTTAAAATCTTGGTCCTGTAGAGAAGTTGTTTCCCAGAGGGAAGGAGGGTAAGTGGCAGTTCCTGAGGAAGGGCTAAAGTGGTCTTTCTTCCAGAAAAATCTTGCCACAACTGCTCCTGTGTCCTATTTCCACCATTGTCCCTGCCCATTAGGTAACACTTCTATAAATCTTAGCTTGGATTCCAATGAAGAGGCTTTATTTTCAATGAGTGCCTCTGATCCAAGTTCAGAGGTTTTCCTGCTGCAGACCCTCTAGATGTGTGTAAAAGGTATATAAATCTAAGAGAGAAAGGACAAGTGAGAGGAAACAGGCAGAAAGAGAGGAGGGGCTTCTGTGTTGAACTTCTATCCATCCATTTTTGAACTGGCAGAAAACTATATTAGCATGAAATTAGCTGTCCCCATTGCTGTGATCCCTATCCTGCATCACTTAACTCCCCTCCAAAGTTCTGCCGCCCAGCGACACTTTATAGGATAGATGGGCAGCATAAAAATTTAATAAATAAAATAAAATACAAGTGGTCCTTGTTTAATGACCATTCACATTAAACATGTTTGAACTGATGACAGCACTGAACAAGTAGCATTACTATCAGACGTTGTACTTATGACCTTTGCACCGTCCTACTGTCACTTAAACACTATTCACAACCTTCCCTGCCAGCTTCCCACAAGCAAAGTCAATGAGGAAGCCGTTAGGAAGTCGGAAAGTCAAGAGTCAAGAATCATAAGGCACAACACTTAATGATAGTCATAGGGTACAATAAGCAATCAAATCATACAAGGAAACAATCCATATACATCGCAAGGATGCAAGCGACAAAGTTACAGTCATGCAGTCACAAGTGGGAGGAGATGGGTAATAGGAATGATGAGAAGATTAATAATAATAGTAATGCAGACTTAGTAAATAGTTGGACAGCGTTGAGGGAATGATTTGTTTCGCAGAGTGATGGCATTCAGGAAAAAACTGTTCTTGTGTCTAGGTGTTCTGGTGTCCAGTGCTCTATAGCAGCGGACACCAACTAGTGGGCCACGGCCCACTGGTGGCCATGAGAAAATGTTGGTGGGCCGCAGAGAAATCTCACCCCCAGAGCACACACACCCCCCAAAGCAATTAATCCAGGCTGCACAGAAATACAAGGCTGCCCAGCCCACATGGCCTGCGGGAACCCTCCTCGCCCACTTACTCCTTACCTGGCAAACTTGTCTGCTAAGTTGCTATTTTTTCTTTTTCCGACCATCATCTTTTCTGCTGTGCCAGGAGATTTAGATAAGCTAGGAAGCAGGAAATGGTTGGATTTCTTGCTTTCTAGCTAAGCACAGCCGAAGCTCCCTTAGGACTGAAGGTTTGCTTGCAAGCAAATTCAGTGCAGACTCACGGCAAGCAAATTTGAGAGACTGAGTTAGCTGATGGCAGATAGATAGATCACTGAATGATTCTGTGAGCAACTCAATCTGCCTACTTTGCCTAATTTTGGATAAAAGTTGCTCTCTTTTTTTATAAAAAAATCAATATTTACATACGTGGTGTGTTGTGAGTTAATTTTGTGAGTTTGCTTGCAAGCAAATTTTATGTGACAGACTGAGCTAGCCAATGGCAGATAGATAGGTTTCTGAATGAATCTGTGATTCTGTGAGCAACTCAATCTTTCTGCTTTGCCTGATTTTGGGTAGAAGTTGCTCTTTTTGATAAAAAATTCAATATTTATATAAATATTTATAATATTTACATACAAGCCATGCCCAGCCAGTCACATGACCACCAAGCCACACCCACAAACTAAGCCACACCCACAGAACTAGTTAGTGGTCCCTGGGATTTAAAATTATGAGTTTGGTGGTCCCTGCGGTCCAAAAGGTTGGCGACCCCTGCTCTATAGCATCATTTTGAGGGTAGGAGTTGAAAAATCTTTTCCAATCACACTGTTCTCAGATAAAGAGCACTTTTGCAGTGGTATCAGGATATTTTTATGGAGTAATGGGACTATAAGGAGATCACCCAAAGTCATCTGAGGAGGAATGGATATAGCCAGAAAAGAAATGCAGGGAGCATGCTGTTCTTTGCACCTCAGTTCCTCTTACGATGCACCGCTAGACCTTGCCTTTGGCAGGTAAGCACAATGTGAAGGGTCTAGAGGAACATAATGCTAAAAATTATTCCTCTTCCTGTTGCAGGAAAGAAAAACATCCCTGCCTGCTTCCCCGACGTGGACTCCACAGCTGATAAGGCGACCATCCAGCAGCATAGAGGGCTGGATGAGCCCAGCTCAAACTCCAGAATCTGAGGGTGGACTTGTCGAAGCCTTTCGAGCAGCCCACGTTATGACTCCACCTCCTCCCATGTCTCCATCCTGGAGCGAAAGGTCTCTGTCCCCATTTCGACAGGAGATTGACCAAAAGTCCAGCCGACAGATGCAGGTGCTGTTGGCAAGAAATATCATAAATGCTGCCCGGAGAAAGAGCTCTTCTCCCAAACTCACTGGAGTAGAAAACTTCAGACCCTTCACACCCCCTGTCACTTGCCCCAATGTGTCATCCACTGGTGGAAGCCCTAAGAACAGGAGTACTCATTCTCCAAGCCCACTTCAGTCCCCCAAGCCGACAGGAATGGATGGCTACAGATGTGCCTCCCTCCCTGTCTCAGCTGCCCCACCACAGGCCAGTGCATCATCAAACAACAGCCCCAGGTTGCTAGGCATCAAATCTCCAAGCCCACTACAGTCACCAAAAGCAGGGAGGATGAATGGAAACAAATGCTTCATGCTGCCTACTAGAACTGGAGCACCCCAGTTCGTTGTCTCAACAAACCACAATGGCCCAAGTATAATGGGCACTCATTTTGAATCACGCAAGGATCCAGAGCCACTTCAGGAACCCACAATCATGGCTAGCCATAAGGCCTTCTCATTGCCAGCAAACACCAGTGGGATTTCACACACCAGTCCAAAAAACCTGGATGCTTCTTCTCCCCTTCTCCAAAGTCCCATGATGACAACATGGTCCCCAGTGAAGCGCTCCACTTCCATGTCCCCCACCAACTCAGAGGCCTCCGTGGACTCTGACTGCTCTGGGGTCAAGTCACCTAGCATCCGCAGCTTCAATATTTGTCCACGAGGCTGGAATGGCAGCCTGAGGCTGAAACGGGGTAGCCTCCCATCAGAAGCATCCTGTACCTCTTAAACAAGGGCCAAGAGATGTGAACCAAAAAAAGATTGTGAAAACTGTTGCCAGAGTATTTGTGCAGGTCCATACATGCATAATCCTGCCAACCTAATTAAGGAAGACACTCATCTGTGAAGATGTATAACACCTTCTCTCCAAGTTGGCCACTTCTTGAAGACTTTGAAGAAGAGAATTTATGAGAAACATTTCTCATACAAAGGAGAAGTGTGATTCAGCTTCTGTTTCTGGAAGGCATCCGTTTCCACAGGATCTTTGTTAGCTTCCTCCTTCTCTCTTGAGAGACATGCTTGACTTTCCCAGGTTTTGCTTTCTCTTTCTCAGCTGGACTGGAGACATGATGATTTCTTTGCTTGGGGAAGATTAAGACACATCTGACTGCTTTTGTTCCCTCTGAGAAATATCCTGTAGGAGGACACAGAGCCCTTGACAGAATCTTTGATGACTCTTAAATCCATGTTTTACCTAAAACAATTAAGCCCATGTTTCACATAAAACAATGGATTTAGCTCTACTTTGATAGAGCTAATCTTCAGTTGGCTTCCATTCCAACCTCCTGAGGCTTGAAGAAACCAGGAGAAAAAAATACGAGCCAGAAGCCCATTCAGAAGTTGTTGTTGGTGCTTCATCTCCACAGCATACTTTTCCTCCAAACATACAGATTGACTTTATATAAACCAAATGAAATGAAAGAAGGTTGTTTTAAAGCCTTTTTGTTCTCTGGACTATTGAAGGATGGATTACAAGAGGATGAAGGACTGATCCAAGCTACAACCCAAATACTTCTGCACCCACATTAGAAGACACCACGTAGGAATATAAGATGTAGGAACTTCCAAGCTTTCTGGAAACCAAAGCCAGCCAGTCTGGGATTGTGACAATGAGGATCCACATGGGTTTCCAGTTAACATGCAGCGATGGAGGCCTGTTCCCAGAGTGTATCCAAATGACTTCAGAACTCCTGCCCTGATTTCAGGTTCTGAATGCCCAGTGAGCAAAGGTTCTGGTACTGCAAGTCACCAGCAGAGAGGTCTTCTGATCTCTTCTATTTCTTTCTAGTTTAGTAGATATCTGGGACGCTATCCAAGCTATCCAAGATCTCCCTCTGGGGAGGAGATTCACAGCATGTCTTAGTTTCTTAAGCCCCAAATAATGCCTCTTCTGCCAACTCTTCTTTCAGCACCTGGAGGAAGCTACCTTTGGATGCTTCTTGCATAATGGTTGGAAACAATAGATGGAAAAGTGAGCTCCACCTCTACAAGGGTCAGGAGCAGTATCCCAGAAAAGTTAGTTGTATCTAAGAGTAGGGAAGCTCAGCAGAGCTATTATTCCCTAACACAGCCGCTCTCAGAAACTTCATGGGTCACTTATATTTTCACCTATATCTATCTCAGCCCCTAGACATGCAGGCGAGGACACAAAGGCTAAAGTAGTATCCCTACTTGGGTGGGACAGATTTGCATTCAGAATAACATTCCACACTAGGAAAGGAAAAGTGAGGGGCTGTTATCTATTTTAAAACACACAAAAGGACCAAGATATACATAAGCCAGGTTCTATATGGATCAACCATCTCAGGTCCCTATCCTTGCAATCTACCGAGAAGGACTGCCTATCAGAATAAATAGCAGACAAACCCAATAGGCTAAATTCCCTTCCAATTTTCCTCTTTGCTTTATCCCCCAGTACTGTCTGTGCCTCATAGCAGCATCTACAAGGCATAGTACTGTGTCTGGTATCAGCATCTATCTATTTACACCATCTGTATGACCTGACGCAACTTCTGATCTATCTCTGATAAGCAGCAAAGAAAAACTCCCCTCATATCATCATTGCCTTTATTGTTCGGCATCCAGAATGAAGGACTTCCTGAAGTGTAGGACATACATACACATGCACATTTCTTTTTTCCAGACTTACAATTAATCTCCATAACTGGCTTCATTCATTACTTTCAGCCACAAAGCAGTGTCTTTGTGGTTGTGTGGTGTGTGAGCCCAGTTTGAGTGCCCAAATTCTGTGCTGCACCTCACCATAATCCTGCAGAGTAGAAGTACCCATCCTTGTGTGGATGGAAGTGGCTGACTAGAGCCAGGAGACTGGGGGAATAGATCTCTTCCCATTGAACAAAATAATTTGGACAAGTCAAGAGAAAAAGGCAAAGGAGAGAATAGTTCAGACAGATTTTACTGCATGCTTGGCCCTTGCTTATCCTGCCTTCTCCAGTCATAGGAATAGAATAGGAGGGTGCAGTATTCGTGTCCATAGTCTCAGATGGAGTTAACTATAAGAATTCCGTGATCTGGAGTCTAGCCAATGTGAGTAAAGTGAGCCCGGTGCGTGCAAAATATCCTCCTCCCATGGTTTCCCCTTACCTCTCAGTTCTGACTCCCTATTTTCTCTCTTGCTTCTCTGCTGTGTGATAGGGTATCATCTAGCTAAAGCATCAGCTGGCCTTGGCAAGGACCAGGTCGTATCGGGTGTTTCCCCAACTTGCCCTCAATTCAGCGGTCGCCTTCTATTTTTATCCTGTAACCTTTAAAGATGAGAACATTTATTTGATATTAATTCAAACTGAGCCAGAAATGAATAATCGGGGCCACCCCCATCTTTGTTTTCTTCTGATCATGCATAGCTTATGTAGGAGATCAGATGGAGGAGGCTCCAAGCTGTGGGTACCTTGGAAACATACCAGCATAAACTCAGCCAAGCTTACCAAATAGCCCTCGTATTGCATCTGCTTCAGCAGTATAACTCCTCCATAAGGAACATTTTGCCATTTTCCTTTTAGGGGTGAGGAGAAGTGGGACACTGGGACTGAGCTGGCCTAGCCATGCTGCTGAAGTCTTCTGAAACTCAAGGCTTTCGAGTTTATATGAAATGCAGAGTAAAAGTAAGAAAGTAAAAGAGTAAAAGAAGCAGGAAAAAAAATGGAATTGCTAGGCCAAGCATTTTGAGAAATATGGAGTATGAATATGTGTGTCCAATCACACATGGCCAATAAAGGATTCCATTTTAATTTAATTCAACATAGAATTCTATTCTATGTAGGAGAAGGAATTATTGATAGAGTAGAAATGTTTCTCTTGCAGTAAATTCAGTCCCGGCATTTCCAGGTCAGGCTGTGAAAGAGACCAGTCTGAAGTTCTAGAGAGCAACCATCAATCTCTGTGGTTCTTCTGCATCTGGCGTGTTAGATCTCAACTCTTTCAATTCTCAGCCACCTCATATTAAAAGGGACATGGTTGAGGAAGATTTTTGTAAATAATCATGGGTTTGGTAAGCCTAGGATTCTTATGTGCACGTATCATTGTTGCATGGAAGTCTTATGTAAGCCATTCAGTCCTAGTGCCCTTACTCTTCTCAGCCCATGGTAGAAGCAGTCAGTCCACTCACATTTAGACTTCCTCCTATCATCTTTTAGATTACTGCTGACAACAGAACAGATGCATTGTGATCACAGAGCAAAATGCAGGTTCTGGAAAGACCCATCTTTTACCTTGACTAAGTAGAGTGGAAGAATTCAAAGAAAGATGCAAAAAGCAGCCAGCGCTACAAAATAGTTGGCACTCTGTCGCTGCTTGTTTCTTTTACTTTGCTCTTACTGCACTTTCTCCTGAGATATGGCATGGGAGAGGAGAGAATTGCACACTGAACCCTGCCACCAGGACACTGCTGCGATGGTCAAGCCAAAGGGATCTATTTCATCCAGAAGGCAGGGAACACATGGAACATCAAGGTGTCATTCTCAGATAGCATTAGGAGATCAGCCAACATGTCCTCAGTTTAGAGAAACAGAAAGGGAGGGAAGATGATAAGAAAAGGCCAATGGCGCCCTCTAGGGCTTCGTGGTGCCAATTGCAAGTTTTTGTCCTAAGAGCCCAAGGAAAATAAATCTGACCCTGAGAATGGAAAGCATAAAAGCAACACAGTTGAGCGTTGTTTTTTATAGCTCTTGTGGCAGAGAGAAGGGTTGGTCTCCATCACTTGGGAAGCAAGATGAAGGAAATGCTGCGTGTCAAGTGTTAGAGAAGGTGTTCGAAAGAGATATGGAGAACCTATAAAGGCAGTTTTTTTCTTCCTGACCTAGGAAATCACCGCTGCTGTTCACAGCTTATGGAAGGAAAAGCGAAGCTTGGTCAGGAAACGAAAAACATGAAACTAGCCTCAAGAATTCTAGCTTCCTATTTTATTCCAGGATCAAAGCCCCGTTTTTCCTTAAGTGAAGGATTGGTGATAAGGCAGCCACGAGGCTTCTAAATATTGACACTGTCACATTTTTCTCTGCGTCTTCAGACTCTGTGTGTAAATAGCAGCTGTGACTTTTGCTACGATGACTCTGCAACACAATGCACATCCATAACTATTTCCAAATTGTTAGGTGGATCGATGCAGTTTGATAGTATATTAGTATACCTTTACCCCTTTGCTTATTTTCTATTATGGGACCAGCTCATTTATCAGACATGCCTTATTTCACAGAAATATATCCCACGTGTACGTTACAAAGCAAGCTAAGGACACATTGAATATTTGTATGTTCCCTTCCCTGCTAATTTATCATGCAATCCTATACATACTGTCTCAGAAGCCCCCTCCCCCGTCTAGGTATATAAGATTCCATACTGCAATATTCATCCACCACTACTACTCTGTCTCTAAAGGAAAGGCCATGCCTACCTGCACGTACCTTGAACTCAATTTCTGCTGTAAGAAACTGCTAGAAATCCCTAGGGCAGGACTGACCGCTCTGTTTTCACAAAAAGAATTGTTTCTTGATTTAGATCTGTCTATACAGCAAAGATGCGGTTTCAGTTCATGCCACAGTTTTTCCAGGGTTATCTTCCACAGGACAATGCATCAAGGGATGGAGGCATTTTTATCCTTATACTAACATGCTGATGGGCTAAATTCCCCAGGATCACAGAAGAAATGAGCGGTTGGAAAAATGTTGTTGACTAAGACTGCAATTATGTATAGGTAGTCCTCAGTTTGCAAACTGTCTTGTTTAGCCACCTTTCGCAAGTAATGACGGTGATGAAAAAGTAACTTTATGATCAATCCTTGCATTGATTGACCTTTGGAAATCTGTAAAGCGAAAGAAAGAGAAAGTAAGATATTGTGAGCATAGTTGCAGTTCCACTTAACTGTTCACTTTGCCTAATGGCCAAGTTGCTACTCCCAGTGGTGGTATGTAAACAAGGTCTACCTATATACACTTTGCTGGGAGGAAGACCCTTTGAAAACCAAAGGACCTAGTGACAAATGTGAAATTGTACTACAAATATCGAAAACAATGTACTTAGGAACTTTGGGGGAAATTCACACTTCTTTTTTAACTTGTGAGTCATCTTATTTCTGAATGTATCACTGAGAACATGTACGGCTTGCTGTATCCCTTCACCTGATACTGTTTGCATCAGCACCATGCCATACACCTATATAAAAGCTCCAAAATAAATCAGACAATAGCCTGGTTATCAATCATGCATTATTTTGGAATTAAACTCTTTGTTATGCTGAAGTACACCCCCCCAACCTTTGTTATGTCTAGTTGTGGTCTTTATGCGTTTGCCCACATAGTCATACTCATTCCCTTCCCAAGAAAGGCAAGAATGAAACTTCAAAATGGCAGTCATTCAACTAAACGTGTGGAAGACAGAAATAGTAATGATAGCAATACATAGATCGGCCGCAAAAATCAGGATGAATTGGAAGTTTCTACATTGCTTTGCTGCTATCTTGGCCTCATCTGGGGATTTGCAGGTCAGACACTCAACCCTAAATAAGATAGCCCTAAATAAGATAGCCAATCTGATGTTGTGGTAAGGCACCAGGTTAGAAACTGAGAGACCAGGAGCTTTAGTCCTGCCTTAGATACAAAGCCGGTTGGGTGACTAGTTGCAGAATCTCAGCCCTAAGAAGGAGACAATGGCAACCCACTTCTGAAACACCTGGTCAAGAAAATTGCAAAGATTTCTCAGGGCAATTGCCAGGAGTCAAAATTGATTTGAAGGCAAGAAAAACAAGTTAGCAAGAAAGGAGCAAATCAAAGCAATTACAGGAACCCAACATGCTTAGTCCATACATGACAAGTAAGATTCTACACGAGCAAGTTTAATATTTGAATTTAAATAAATAGCATTTCCATCCCAAAGTTGGTACCAAAGCAAATTCTTCTCTCCCCAGAAAACTGAAAAAAGAAATCAGGTGCAAAATATCATTGTGGCGGCCGCATGTGTTTTTCTGGACTAAACGAACTTTATATCCCCTCTTTTTAAAATTTATGTTTGAATCATAAAGTCCAGTTCAGAGACCTTTCAATGCAATGAATCAAAATCATTCGCTACAGAGTTTTGTTTTACAGAGTTTCTGTCTTTCCATCTTCCAACCCTCAGTAAAATCATAATGGTACATATAAGAATACAAGGAGAACCCCAATGGATCAGGCAGAAGATGCAGCTAATCCAGTCTTGTACTCTAATGCCATCCAGAGGTGGTGGTGACCTCTGTATAATGTACAGCGTGTAGAGATGTAGGGAGATGGCCTTGAGAAAGGTATTCTACAGCCCTTACAAAAACACCACCTTAGTTACGGAAAGACCGAAGGAGTGAGAAAACAACTCAAGATTGCCTTATCTGGATTCACCTTGGTTTTAAATAGGGAGGGAGGGGAAATCTCTGTCAGGCTTCCAAATTCTATAAATAAAGCCTGCAACAACAACATAAAAGAGCCGTAGTGGCACAGTGGTTAGAATGCTGTATTGCAAGCTAACTCTGCCCACAGCCAGGAGTTCAATCC